CTCCGAACTGGGAGTTCTGGATATATCTGGTAATCGATCATCATTTTTGGTATCTGGGCATATTATTTCATTAAAAAAGTTATATTTTTCAAAGTCCCGGACTTTGTCTATGGAAGTTCGCAGGGCTGTGGTGGGAACATCTATCAACCGAACGCGTCCCCGTACACACAGCACTGTACGCAGGGCTAACTGTCGATCGTGCCCAGGGGAAGGTGGCGGGTGTCGCCCTGTATTATACAACAAACTTACAAAACAACAAGTTGAAAACTGCACTGTAGCGAGACTGGCCTAGATTGACATTCAACCTTCTGTCCTCCACTTAAATACCCCTTGTCACATGACCCCACATACCATACCCGTCTGTTTTCCATCTCGAACAGACAATAGTTACCCGCTATACTGCGAAACGCGGTTAACAATATATATGGGCGGTACTAATTGACCTCTCTAGTAGGTCATTCACTCACTTCCGCTGTTCACGATGTCTGGAATGCAGTCATTTTATCCCGCGCCGATCAAAACACCAACCAAAATCGTCAGCAGAATAAATAATTCGCCACGGTCCAAAGAATTGATGAGCATTATGTTTTTCTACTTCCTGATTATTGGTGACCCGTTTCGCTCATGATTGGTTGATCGGTGTATGACGTTGTTTGAGTGACAAGTCTCAGCAGGAACGTCACCGGGCAATTTCTACGTAATGCCGCACGAGGGCGTTACATTCTATAACAGTCTCTCGGGCCTTACGGCCCTCGCTTGAAATGACTTGGGCATTTTGTTAAAACACCTACGGCGTCTGAAAGTGACTCGTTATTAGGCCGGAGAACTGTCGACAGTCTAGGTTTCCATAATATGTATATTTATCAAATTGGGGTAAAATTTATGTCATAGGTTTCCAACAATTCTTCGCTGTACAATGTACAATACAATGGCAAGTATTCGTTTTTATTGCTATAAATATTTTCTATGGCGCGTGTGTGAGTATACACAAACAATCTGGGAAGTCGTGGAACAGTATGTATAGGCCGTCGTTGTTGGAATAACAAAAAAAATGGATGTATGCAATGTGACATTTGGGTAATTTCAAGTCACTTTCAGAATATGAATTCAAGTCGGTCTCTTAAAGCGGGGGAGTCGTCACCTGCACATGCGTCAGGTGGCCTTAGCGTGTCATTGTTTACAAACAAGCGTCTACCCATGAGCCTTTGCGTTTTTAGCGTGTGTTGTTATCGTCGCTTGGGACTCAATTCCCACGCGTGCGCAGGTGACTCTCTCCCGCTTTAAGTTAGATTGGTAAACCACATTGTGTCAACACAGGTGGCGCTATCGGTTGTTTTGCGGCGATCTGCGTGTCAATGTAGGTCTTTACTGGACTCGTCACATCCGACAATGTACAACACACACTTACATAAGGTAAGGTTCATGCCAGGTTCGGCCACGTATGTGCAGTCGGTCCGGCGAACCATTTATTTAACAAAA